AAAAAACAAAAAAGCAAAGAAAAAACAGTGCTCAGAGGGAAGGCTGAGCACACCTACTTGAAGCATTCATTTCTGCTGTCTTTGTTGCTGATTGTGGGCAAACCAACCAAGAGAAGGACACAAAAAAACAAACAAAAAAAAAGCTCCAATCCTACTCAGAGAACAAAAGGCAACAGTGTGCTACAGGTCACATGTTTCAGGGCAACAACAGAAACATACTTGGGCTGTACAGCAGGTAGGCACGGGATCTCCCACTAAGCCGAGCAAAAATAAAATACAGTTAATAATTCAGTAATCGTCACATCCACTTTCCTAAACTAAAGTCCTGTATCTTATCTTGTGGATATTTGTATTGATTGTTTAGATTTCTAAAGTGTTGTGTAAATGATTACATAATTTTTAGAAATTAATGTTGAACCACCACAAGATTCAGGGACAGCAAAAAAAGAGCCCTAACAGACAGCATATAGGTAGGAAACATCAGTCCAAAATGGCAGATCTAAGAAAGCACTAATTAAGAGTTACAACTGAAACCACGTATCGGAGTGTCTCCCTTGGGATAGAAAGCCGATACGTCAACTCCTTTCTACAAGTTCTGAAAGCACACATTTCTCCATAGGCTCTTTTTGAATTATTGATGCTAAGAGAACTTCAGAGACTAAAGCTGTGGTTTGAGACTTTTCCCAAGTATAGACATCTAAAATTGGGTCAAAAAGTTCCAATCTTTAGAGAACAACCTAACCCCTCACCCCACAAAAAATAACCCAATCAAATAAAAACTAAAATGAAGCTTCCTACATGATTTTTGGATTTGGAAACTGGACACAAACTTTATATAGTCACTAATGAAGCACTTGCACTGTGACTGCCATACTTCTCCATTCCAACTCTGACATGTTCTACCAAGACTCCAAATCCAAAAGTAAAATAAAGATTCCCAGTTGTAGAAGAACAAGTCCAGCTGAATAGGCTTGTCTTGTCAAAGCTGCTTGGTCTTAGGACTGAATGAAAGGAAAACCCAACTTTGAAATTGCTCTGTGAACTGGTGCTACAGAGAAAGATATTTTTTACTATGAAAAGGAATGCACTGGGACACTAAGATTCTTGTAACATCTGCTAAAACATGGAGTACTGGACAGAGTGAAAGAGCATCTGAGAAACGGATGTGCAGTGAGTGAGGATGGGCAAGTTTCCCATCTCATTTGAGAAAAGTGCTTTGCTTTCATAGTCTATTTTAACACAAACGGTGAGTAGAATTTGACAATAAGTTGCTTATTTTGCCATACTGGCATTATATGTATGAAGGGAATATTTTTGATAAAGTACCATATTTGTTATGGTACATAAATTTACTTGAGTCTAAAATTCTCAGAAGTGGTTCAGTATGGTAACATTGCAATCTTTACTAATATACATACCTATACTACTATCTAGATAGATCATTTGCCACTAAATAGCCTAGGCATCACATGTAGACTTATCAGAATTCATATAAATGTTTATTCTTAAGTATTTTTTTCTATTTTTATCCACTTAAATCTTCATAGTTGTGGGAAATTAGGCGGAGGAGGAGGAAGGGGGAAGCAGAGACAATTATTTAATGATAGCAGACACTGATTCATGAAGCTTTAGCTTTTTAACCATTAAAACAAATTGTCATCACATCAAAATATACATAATAAATAGTCTTACAGCAAACCATTAAGTTCTCACGCAGCATTTTTCTTACGTTGCCTATCTGTAAATTTCTTTTATCAATAGAAATATTTTTTTTAAGTTACTTTCGGAGTGCACAAGTGAAATTGACTTAACTGACATTTACTGATAAAAATCTAATCCTTCCAAGCTGAGAGTTACATACGGTTGCTTTACACTTTTTTAATACAATACAATCTTTTAAAATGACACGTTGTACAAATATTAAACTGCATAGTCTATGACTTGGTATTTGTGCTTATCTAAAAAGCATCAGCTATTATTAATTACTTGATCAAACCAGATCCTAAACCTAAACTTTTTGCAAATATTGCTTGTTCTTATATTGAAATGCCAAACTTCAAATCTCTTATAATTAGGGTACAAAGTGTCTATAATAAGATAACCAGTAATGCTCACATGGCATAACTACAAAACTAGCTACAGTTATTGCTCTCCTATGTTTATTATTTCAGAAGTGGCAGGTGGTATTGCGGAATCAACTGATGGGAATTTAATAAAACTACTTCAGGAAAAACTGGGTACAGGCTTATACACTATATTAGATTTTTAATTTGTGTAACAAATCATTAGGGATATGCATGATTTCTACCATTCAGTCCTGGTGAACCACTCAACTGTCCTTTTGTTTTCCTTCTGTAAGTGTAACATCCTGGGTCACTTCTGCCCCATCAAGCGGGCAGTCTCCTGGAAAGTTTTGTATATTCTGGTGCCTGTGCTCCAAAACAATGTTCAGACTCCTTGGTCTTACGTTCAATTCCAGGTTTCCAACTTCAGATTCTATCCTTCACAAATGGCCCAGTCAACTAGCATTTAGAATTGCTGAACATATGAAGTTAAATTTGTATCAATCCTCCAGCTACTGAATCACTAAAAACCTCCTTTAATTCCATATGTTTATAGAAATGTTATCCACCCTTGATAAATTAATCCAATCTCATAGGATGTTGATTTGGAAGAGCTAACATTTTTTTCCAGAACACTAACTGTTGCTGCTAACCTACTTTTCCCCTACGGTTAACTGAAAGCCTGGATCAAGAGAAAATATCCAGTTTGCTTTCCGCTCTTTTTGTTATAGAGTCACTGAAATGCTAGAGTTCCAAAGAGTAGAGCTATCATACGGCCTACAATAAGAATTTTTCTGCTGTATTTATGTCTCATGCTATGGTTGTTGGACAAGAAAGAAAGAAAAAAAAATCAATGAATAAGCCAACAGGTAAAGAATGTGAAGTAGGGGGAAGTCACAAGCATGTGCAAGCCCTGCGGCTTGATGCCTATGAGAGAAGGGAGCTTTCTGATGTAGTGTGGTTGTAGCCAGGTCGGTTCCAGGATATTAGAGACATAAGATGGGTGAAATATCTTTTATTGGGCCAACTTCTGTTGGTGAGAGACAAGCTTCTGAGCTTACATTAACCTCTTCTTCAGTCATCTGTTGAAGAGCAAGGGGAGTCGACAGAGAGGCATACTAACGGCCGGTAGTTTGGGGACATTGGGGTACAATTTGACTAAGTTTTGACTTGGGGCCCATATTTTTGAGACTTCCCTGTTAGGAACCCACCTGGACAAAGCCTGAACAATAACTGGATATGGTGTCAACCTGATGAAAACCGATGTTTGCCAAGGTGGAGTAAGAAGCCCTGGACAGAGCTAGAGCGCAAGGGGGAGAGAGACTACACATTCCTAGATAGCTGCTGGGAATATCTCTTAGGGTGGCAAGGACTCTGATGGGTTCCTGAGGGCACTGATCCTGTTGTATTTGAAAGAGCTGAACTAAGAGCTGTAATTGCTCACCAGAAACTCATTATCTAGCCAGTGGCAAGGAGAAGTCAGCAACAGTTCTAGGCTGAGCAGCAACAACTGGGCCCAGCCACAGCACCAAGCAGGCAGAGCAAAGTGACAGCTGGATTCACCCACAGGCCACAGCTTCCAGCAGGAGAGCAGCACACTGAACAGCAGAGGGAGAGCATCAGCCATTCAAGGTCCAATTGTTTGGGACTGTGACTTATGTACTCTGAGGTAAATGGTGGTGGGAATTAAACTGTAAATACTTGTCTCGGTTCAACCTGCTCTTTCCTTTTTCTCCCCTCCCGGCAATAAAGTTCATTTGTCTAAACTTCTGTGCTTGTGACTGGGTACAGATTAGCTTGGCAAAGGCTACCAGAGTGGTTATAGGTTCCCAGATTACTGAGTGGGGGCTTGAGCCAAAAAGACAGACAGACACTAGAGAGAATCCCCTAACATAAGGGCCCGGCCCTTGTTGCTGCCAACCCAACTAGCAGAAAGGTTACACATGGAATGTCTCTGAATCAATTATCTGACATTCTTTAATTGCTTTCCATGTTAAAATGCAGTACTGTATGTTTTATCGTTACCCACATGGGAGAGGCTTTTCTGTCTATTTCTTGTTCATCTGTTGAGACTATCTGGTTTTGAATCAGTTGTAAGAGAAACGCGCTGGAGGAGAGAACATACCCAGCTAGTTTACAGATCTGCCCAAGAACATCTTACTTACTGTTACATCATCAATAAAGACTTTCCAATTTGCATGCCTTTGTATATGACTCAAACCTAGAGTCTCCAGAGACATCAGAAGGAAAAACAACAGGTAAAGTGATGGGAATTCACCAATCTAACTGAGAAAACAGCTCTCGGAACATATTGTATCCTTAAACTCAAACTTGAACGCTGGAATTTTACTCAAATTCAATATTCATAATTTCAAAAACCTCCATGAAAATTGAACCTGTCATTAGGATAATTATTAGTCAAATGTGATTTTAAAGTTCTGTTCTAAAAAATAGACAATCAGACATTTAATTACATGTCACAGTGTTAGCATAACTTTCGAGTCATTCATTTCTCTAACAAACACCCTGTCTAAACAGGGAAAAATGTATCTGATTCAATGTCTCGTCAGTCCACTGCAACTTCAATTTCAACCGATCTACATCCCCTGAACAGCACAAATATTTAAATTCCTATATTTGTAACTATTACAGTGAAAGCTTCAGGCACAGAGCATTTCTGAACAGATCCAAGTTTAGTTTGGCAAGTCTCAGTCAAAATTAGTTTCACACCTTGACAGATATAGCAACAAACATGGAATATGCAAATATTCTTAGTGTTCCACCTTATTACATTTACAGTCAAAACAGACCTATGCATGATTTCAGGTAAGTCTCTTCATACCACATTGCAAGAAAACAGGCCCAGGTTTTTGTTACTAAAATAAGTGACACTAAATATTAAATATATGTGTGTATATATGAATATGAAGACATTACCTTCATGGCATGAATTTCTTTTAGTAATCTCTCTGCTCGCCTTTGGTTCTTTAGTACCACATCTTCCGAACCCCTGTTGATAAAGACTCTGTTTAACTGGGTAACACACTGATTGGCAACACGGAAATTACTATTTGCAGCAAAATAAATCACAAAAGTCAATATAAACAATTTTACTGTTCACATCTATTTTATGTTAAATGTAAATTATCAGAACAGCGAAGTAGACACATAGAAACATCAATGCGTCCCCAGCTTTTACAAATGAAATTAGCATGCAGAAGAGATATAATGGTAATTCTAAAAACGTGAGGGCAAGTAGTAATATATTTGATAGCAACATTTTGGCAAGGACTTTTCTGAAATCAGAAGAATCTGCTGCATCTTCTCTGGGAGCTGTTGAACTAAACGTAGTGTCTAGAGAATGCTATAAATCGTTTAGCGCCAGTCTAAGCCAAGGTTGCTCAAACTAGATACGAGATGAATCAAGCCCGAGAAAGTTTACTTGTAAAATTTGTATAAGTACATTATGATTAAATTTTGAATGACCCTAGGTAGGATATAATAATTAAACCTTAAGAGATGATCGGGATTAAAGAATATCTACCAAAAAAAAAAAAAGTGACTTAGCTGAAGATAGAATCCTGAAAATTTAGATGACAAGAGATACTTTTCTGAGTAAAATTTACAATAAAATATTACTAAATTTAAATACGTAAAATGGAGGCCACAATACTGCCAAAATCTTACAAAATTTGCTGCAGTGGGTGAAATGTCTAAACAACTGTATTCTTCACATTTTAAACACAACAACAGTAGATTGGTCTTCTTCCATTGGTCTCAGTACTAACAGTGTCACAAATCACTTTTCCCCATGTGAAAGATTAATTACATTAACACGGATTAGAAACACAATTAAAAATTCCAAAAACAGTGTTTATTTGTTCAAAGCATATTGAAGAGAGCTCCTTGCACTGAAACTTGCAGAACTTTGCACTAAGGAAGCTACTGAAGCTTTCTGTAATACAGTGATGTTCTAACACATCAAGGGTAAACTTTTCCAAAATGCTTAAGTGATTTAGTCTAAATCCCATTTTCAAAATTACTACGGTCAAGTGTTTAAACCAGTTTTGAAAATGGGACCGGGGCTCCAAAGTCACTTAAGCACTTCTGAAAACTTTACTTCAAGTCTGCTTTGGGAAATTGTCTTTAGGTTCATATTACTTAAGACCAGTGGTTCCCAAACTGGAATTCATGAAACCCTGGGGGGTTCACCAAATGTTACAGGGGGCTCTCGGAAAAAAATTCCCTAATGGCGGACAGAGCTGTCCATAGGGACCCCAGGCAGAACAGGGCCAGCAGCCCAGAGCCTTGGGGACTTCCAAGAGCTAAGCAGATCAAAGCAAGCATATCTATCACACTGAGGATATTTAAACTTCAAGACTCCTTATACGAAATAGAAAGGGAGGTGGACTTTTTGTGGTTTTTAAAATAGGCTGCTCGTGTTGTTTTTAAATTCGTATGAAGAATAAGTTTAAGCTTTGTTGTGATGTGCATTATTTGCCCGGACTGCTCAAGATCTGAACGCTTGTGTAGGAGGAACTCCGAGTTGGCTTCTTAAATACCTTCATCCTGTTTCACATCTGATACTCCTTGATGAAACATAGTACATGAGGGCAACGAGGGTCATGTGCCGCCCCCACCGTGGTGCACCCCCCCATAGGTCCCTCCCCTTTTTTTCCCCCCGGCAGCCCTCCCCCCAGACCCCCCACTTTAACCCCAGGGTGCACAGGGCCTTCGCCCCCACAGGCCCCAGGGTGCACAGGGCCAGGCCCCAGGGTGCACAGGGCCTTCGCCCCCACACTCCTTTTTTCTACTTGCACCTCTGATAGGAGCCTTGTCTTATAATAGGCTTAATCAAAAGTGATACAAGCTACAAAAGTGAGATCTTGGAAGAGAGTGTTGCCATTTTCATAATGTAATAAAAATACTGTAATGATAAATAATAGTGTGTAATAAGCATGTCATAAAAACAAATGTTATATTCCCAAGAACACTGCTTTTATAATTTATGTCGAAGAAAGGGAGAAAATCCCTGGAAATATTCATTTTTAGGAAGGGGGTTCATGAGACTTGACAGTTTAGTGAAAGGGGTTCATGGGTTGTTAAAGTTTGGGAACCACTGCCTTAGACTATATTAAGGTAAGTTAAATGTTGACACAAATCTATAAATAAGATTTACTACATCTTAGACACTTAATAATGCACATTCATAGAAGTACAGTGCAAGACCAATCCTGTTCTAAAAATATATTGTGTTCTTTAAAAGTATTAACTATTCAATTAATATACTGCCCTACTATCCACCTCAAATGTGTAGTGTTAAATAATGTTTTGTAGATACTCATTTCCCCCACAGTCTAGTCAATATTTACATGTCATTTAAAATAAATGCAGCATTAAAATTTTTTTTAAAAAAGGATTAAATATTAAAACTAACTTTTTTAACCTAAGTTTTGCAATGTGTCTGGTGAGTCTGCGAATGGTTAGAACTCTGGCCTTCTTCACCTCTTTTCTCATCTTCACAACCTATTTGAAAGGAGGACAATATGTTAGATAGCTATTTATCCTCGTGTACAGAAACTAATCAATGTATCTATTATGCCTTTGTTTTTTTTAAACTGATTCAACAAACAGAAAAATATCTGAACACAGTTCATGCCTCTGCTTAACAAAAAATCGTAGTTCAAATGAATTCAGATTCCTGTTAAACTCAAACTGCTTCCATAAACATCAGAGGAGGAAAACAAACCAACAGTCTAAAAATGTGTCTGAGGTCTGAACAGGAAGAAGACATGAAAAAGCCAAGGCATTCTTAACCAGCCATATTTTAATAATATTCTTAGAACCAGGCTGGCCTAGAGTTTTGAACAGCTTACATTTATTTTTTGCTCATTCATTTTGTATTCCCACCTTCATTGAAAATGCACCTGTACTTTTCTGTTAAAGTACAATATGGAACAAAACTACATTTAACTGACAATTTAAATGTTCTTTAAAAAGCCCCTAAAACTAACATTTATTCATTCTTCAATAATAGACTCTCTGTCAAAGGCCATTCTAAATTCTACAAGACCAAACAAATAGACAAACAAATGAAACCACATTGTTACATACCGACTGTCATTAAATTTAGTTTCATTTCCACCCCACAAATTTATACTTGCAAGTTGTAAATTTACAGACTTACATCAATATATATTTAATCCTACTTTAGTATTATTTCTCCCCAACCCACCTCACAAAAAACACATTTGAAAAATGTAGCATAGATAAACAGATGGTAAGTCCAGCAAGTTATCTAGGATCTTTTGCCATGAAATTTCTCCAGGGCCAAACTTATTGCAAGTTAGTGTTTTCATAAAGATACAAGAACTTTGAGATGTAGGATGATAATAGCATCTCATTGATGACTGATGACCTGGCCATTTGTGTACGTTAATACTGTAAAGAAATTTAAAACTATTTAGCAATAGATTTTCCAAATACATTTCTAGAACTCTCTTTTTTGAAGTGATTTACCATCATCAATAGTAACAGTGTTAAATGCTAAACCCACAAAGTGGAGAGAAAAAGAAATCAGAACAAAAACAGTGTCTGATTTTTTATTTGTGGTAAAGTTATAGCAAAATCCTAAAATTTACTCCTAGACAGAGAATTTGTACTGTATGCCAAGTTGCCATGCCCTTCTTAAAATTCCATAGAGGACTTTCTCTTTATTGTACCCGGAGTTTTTATTTTTAAACTACTGACAATTTTAAATACTTGAACATTCCCTATGCATATCTACATATAAAATCTAAAATACTGATATATCTGGGGCAAACCCTAAATGTTCTAACAGCTCATGGCATTAGGCATGCATCAAACTGAGACTGAATTAACTTCTCAGAAGTCTATGCAAGTCTTCTCCTGCCCAGTACAAGTGATATAATGTACTAGCTGCAGAAGTATCCAGTGGTACAAACAAGGTACCCTACCTCCCCCATGCGTTTACCATGTTCAACGTGATACAGTTTTTCTCCTCAGAGTATTAAATGGGGCAACATCCACAAGTGTTGGAGTTCTACCACCTTGTCATTCACAGCAGTAATTTAGTTGTAGGCCCTGCTCAGCATAGGGTCTTCTTTTTGCTCACAGACAAAATCTGTGTCATGAGCCAAGGCTTCCTAAATCTGGCAACCACTACCACTCCTGTCTGCAACCTGGATGAATGACCTGTGAATCTTAAACTTCCCTAAATTCTAATGACTAATTCTCCTAACTCAGCTAGATCCACCATTCCAGGATCTTCCCCAGGTGCTAGAATTGGGTTCAGCAGCCACTGTATTCAATTTTCTTAGCTCATGGATACATTTCCCACAGGTACTGCTAATCCGAGGATAGGACAACAGCGAGGGTAGAGCCATGTGTCATCCCACAGATAGCCATAGTCATCTGCAGAGGTAGGCCTTCAAATCAATGTGAATGCACTGTAGAAAGATGGTCTCCCCTGGGGTTCCTTCTGCCCCAGGCACAGGAGTCTGCACCAGGATCTGGCTATAAACAAAGTCCAACCGACCTTGCACTTCTGTCCCATTGATCCACACAGGGATCAATTATTTTGGCAGGTCTGGTCTTCCACACTCAGCTTTCCACTGTTCAAACCTTGGGATACTCACATTCCATAAAGGGGCACTCTCTTTGGGTGTGTTCTGGTTGCCCACATGAGAACAGGCCAACATGTTTTGGTCTGAGCCCATTCTCTCATCTGTTACCAACCTTGTCTGTTAGTGGCTTGGCATCTAAGTCCACACTATTCCCTCAGAGCAGCAGTGTCAGGAGCTGACCACACCCTTTAGGTTTTGTCCAGGCCCTTACTAGCCTGTTGCTGTGACTCGTCCAAAGTCAGTCATTCTAACTGACGAGATGCTAAAGATTAGGGCACTTGTCCCTGACGAACAGAGTGTGTTCTCTTCTGCCTGGGCTTCGTATCAGGTTGGGTTGGCTTGGCTTCTCAGCCCCAGGTTGTCCCCTGCCCTCATCTCTCCAGTTTCTCAGCAGTTGTACTGCCTCAGGCACCTTGGATAGTGCCTTAGTACTCACTTGGGCCCCACTGGGGAGTACTCACAAACTGCACAACCAGCACTAATTTGGCTACTTGAGCACCAGTCCACTCCTCCAGCCATAATCACTACCAGCAATGGTCTTTCAAATTTTGGACCACCACCAGTGGCTAGGCCAGATACATTTCCATCCAGAAATGGCAGCAGTATCTCTCTCTTCACTGAGATCAAGTCCAGGATGACAGCCTCACCCAGTGTGTAATCCCATATAGCCACACAAGGTCAAGCCCTCAGTAGGCTGCATGAGCCAGGTCAGTCAGGTAGCCTGTATCAGGCCCCTATGATCTCGAGGCCCTTGGGAGACCAATGCCACTCATTCAAAAGTGATCAAGAAAGCTTCAGGGTCATAGGCAGGCCATCTTAGTCAGTTTTCATGGGGGTCACGCTGTCAGGAGTGCCTCATGATTGAGTGCCTACCTCAGGGCAGACTGTCAAAAACAGGGCAGACACTCCAAACTGGTGCTATGCTCTATAATTAGATATCAACCCAGTAACACAGTCCCCTTAGGCTCTCCAGTCTATCTTGCCACCCAAGTTGGACTAAAGATCACAAAATATTCAGGTTACTTCCAGTCCCAGAGAAACAGTTTATACCTCAGTTCTCAAAGACAATGCTTCAAACCAATCCTTAATAAACTAACTAAAGGTTTATTAACTAGGAAAAAGAAATTAGAGAGTTATTTACAGGTTAAAGCAAGAAAGCATACACATGCAAATAAGTTACCATCTATGGTTCCTAAAGATGACAGACATAGTAATCTTTCAATTGAAAAGGTCTTTCAGGGTGGACCCAGGGCTAACCCCTGGGAATCTCTGCCTTAGTTTAATATCTCTAGCCCTGTGAGAGTTCAAACAGCAAAGAGATGAAAAATTTACTTTTGCCCATTTTATCTTTACATTTAAGCCTTCCAGCCCATGAGACGAACTCCCTAGCATGTAGCATTTCCAAGGTGTGATTGGACTACAAAGATTGGTGAATGACCCTGTCATAAATATAAAGGGAAGGGTAAACCCCTTTAAAATCCCTCCTGGCCAGGGGAAAGCTCCTCTCACCTGTAAAGGGTTAAGAAGCTAAAGGTAACCACGCTGGCACCTGACCAAAATGACCAATGAGGAGACAAGATACTTTCAAAAGCTGGGAGGAGGGAGAGAAACAGAGGGTCTGTCTATATGCTGCTTTTGCCAGGGATAGACAAGGAATGGAGTCTTAGAACTTTTAGTAAGTAATCTAGCTAGGTATGTGTTAGATTATGATTTCTTTAAATGGCTGAGAAAAGAATTGTGCTGAATAGAATGACTATTTCTGTCTGTGTGTCCTTTTTGTAATTTAAGGTTTTGCCTAGAGGGATTCTCTATGTTTTGAATCTAATTACCCTGTAAGGTATCTACCATCCTGATTTTACAGGGGGGATTCCTTTACTTCTATGTACTTCTATTTCTATTAAAAGTCTTCTTGTAAGAAAACTGAATGTTTTTTCATTGTTCTCAGATCCAAGGGTTTGGGTCTGTGGTCACCTATGCAAATTGGTGAGGATTTTTACCAAACCTTTCCCAGGAAGTGGGGTGCAAGGGTTGGGAGGATTTTGGGGGGAAAGACGTGTCCAAACTACGTTTCCCAGTAAACCCAGTTAGAGTTTGGTGGTGGCAGTGGATATTCCAAGGACAAAGGATAAAATTAATTTGTACCTTGGGGAAGTTTTAACCTAAGCTGGTGAAAGTAAGCTTAGGAGGTTTTCATGCAGGTCCCCACATCTGTACCCTAGTGTTCAGAGTGGGGGAGGAATCTTGACAACCCCATGTTCCTTAATTGCCCGTTTAATTTTGACAGGCCTCCTGAACGGGTGGAGGAGATGATTCACCTGCCTAGGTTCACAAGTTTAGAGCAAACATTTTCAAAGCTATAAACAAAATTTACATATTTTCTTAGCATGGATACAGGCATTACAAGTGAGATTATGAAATGCTTGTAAATTGTTGTATGCATTAGAGTCTAAACACTAAATACATTCTGATAAAAGACTAATACCTATTTTGAATAACATACAGGTGAGATGGCTTGATTTCCAGTTATGAGTTTGTCAGTGATCAGTTGATGCCTACAGACTTGGCATGAGCTGGCACCTGGTTTACTGGCATCACAAAAGGCACTGATGGAAGCACTGGCCCTGGGCTCACGGCCACAATCATCAGACCCTGGCTGCCCAGGCCAGCCACAGCTCCAACAGTAGCTGTTTAGCAGGTTTAGTTGTAAGTCTTTCTGCTGGCTCACCATCTTGCATAGCAGCTGGTGCTGTTGGGTTGTCTGCAGCTGTTGAGTAGTGCCCTGTTGCAACAGCTGCTGCTGGAATGGCTGTTGCTGGGTTAGTTGCCTGTTGTCTCTGGCTCTGTCAGTCACTCGTACCACTGCTGTGGACCAATTCTGCT